CACCTCAGCCTCCCAAAGGCGCGGGATTACAGGCTGAGCCACCGAGCCCGGCTTTGACTCTATTCTAAGCACTCTCCATCTATGGATTCATTTAATCCACACAACAAGCCAATGAAATAGGTACTGTATTTAATCTCATTTTACAAAGAACCTTCTAGAGGTTCAACTTACCCCAGATCACCAGATAGTGAGGGCAGCGTCAGAATTTTGTCAGGCTCTCTGGCTCTGGACCCCTCACTTTCCTTTTCTTCTTCTTCCTGGGCCTCGGGTGTGGCGTGTTAATCCACCTCCTTGGTTTGTGGCCCACTGTCCTCCTCAGCCTGGGCAAAGTCTCTCTCTTTTTTTGAGTTGGAGTCTCCATTGCCCAGGCTGGAGAGCAGTAGCATGCTCACAGCCACCGCAGCTCGACTTGCTGGGCTCCAGCGATCTTTCCGCCTCAGCCTTCCAAGTAGCTGAAACTACAGGCATGTGCCACCACGCCTGGCTAATTTTTGATTTATTGTAGAGATGAGGTCTCGCCAAGTTGCCCAGGTGGGTCTCGAACCCGCAGGCTCAGGCAATCCACTCACCTTTGCCTCCCAAAGTGCTGGGATTACATGCTGAGCCACTGAACCCGGCTCTCTCTTCTTTTATTTCCTTATTTTCTCCAGTTACTCCCAACTCATTTCTCTTTCCACTCCCCTTCCTAGGCCCTCACTAGGCTGTTTATCTGTTTTTACTGAGGCAGGTATCTGTGTAAACACATGCACTGTTCTGTGAGTATACTCAGCAACAATCAGCCATTTATTCAGCATCTGCCAGGGTTGGGTGTCACTCAGAACAGGGATGACAAACCACTTCCCATTGCCAGATTTTGTACAACCTGTGAACTTGAAACAGTTTTTGCATTATTTATTTATTTATTTATTAGTTGGAGTCTCGCTCTGTCGCCCAGGCTGGAGTGCAGTGGCATGCCCACGGCCACCGCAGCCTTGATCTGCTGGGTTTAAGTGATCCTTCCGCCTCAGCCTTCCAAGTAGCTGGAACTACAGGCACACGCTGCCATGCCCGGCTAATTTTTGACTTATTGTAGAGATGGAGTCTCGCAAAGTTGCCCAGGCTGGTCTCAAACCCATGGGCTCAGGCAATCCTCTCACCTCAGCCTCTCAAAGTGCTGGGATTATAGGCGTGAGCCACCATGTCCAGCCTGGTTTTTACGTTTTTAAATGGCTGAAAAAAGTCAAAGAAGCCTGCTTTTTGACACATGTAAATTACATGCAATTCAAATTTCAGTGTCCATGAATACATTTCTCTAGTGCATGGCCTCACCCACTCACTTCTGTCTCAGGCTCCTTCCACGGGACATAAGCAGAATTTTTTTTTTTTTTTTGAGTTGGAGTCTCACTCTGTCGCTCAGACTGGAGTGCAGTGGCCGCTTCCGGCCACCGCAGCCTCGACCTCTGGGCTCCTATGATCCTTCCGCCTCAGCCTTCCGAGTAGCCGGAATTACAGGCGCGTGCTACCAAGCCCGGCTGATTTTTTTTTTTTTATTGTAGAGATGAGGTCTTGCTGCCCAGGCGGGTCTCGAACCCGTGGGCTCAGGCAATCCACTCATCTCAGCCTCCCAAAGGCGCAGGATTACAGGCTGAGCCACCGAGCCCGGCTATACATTAGCAGAATTGAATAGTTCAAGAGACGTTGGGTGGCACAAAGTAGAAAATATTTACTCTCTGGCCCTTTACAGAAAAACAATAATTGCTGATTCCTGTCCTACAGGTTGGAGATACATTTGGGAACATATGTTTGTTTGTTTTGGGGTTGGAGTCTCTCTCTTTTGCTCAGGATGGAATGCACTAACACAATCATAGCTTGCCTCAGCCTCGACCTCCTGGGCACAGGTGATTCTTCTGCCTCAGCCTCCTGAGTAGCTGGGACTGCAAGCACGCACCATCACGCCTGGGTAATTCTTTGATTTTTTTTTGTAGAGCTGAGGTTTTGCCATGTTGCCTAGGCTGATCATGAACTCCGGAACTCAAGCAATCCTCCCACCTCAGCTTCTCAAAGTGCTGTGATTACAGGCATGTGAGCCACCATGCCTGGCCAGGAATATTTGTTTTTAATATACATTTTGTGTGCATGTGTGAGTCAGAGTCTCACTCTGTTGCCCAGGCTGCAGTGCAGTGGCATGCTCCCAACCACCGCAGCCTCCACTTGCTGGGTTCAGGCCATCCTTCCACCTCAGCCTTCCAAGTAGCTGGAACTACAGGTGCACACCACCATGCCCAGCTAATTTTTCGATTTATTGTAGAGATGAGGTCTCACCAAGTTGCCCAGTCTGGTCTCAAACCTGTGGGCTCAGGCAATCCTCTTGCCTCTGCATCTCAAAGTGCTGGGATTACAGGCATGAGCCACTGTGCCCAGCTATGTTTTTGGTTTATATAAATAGTATGATGTTTAACTGGAATGGAGGGCATGCAATTCATCATTCAATCTGAGATTTGTGGTAGTGAGAGGATGTTAATTACTGAAATAACTTGGGGGTAAACTATCTGACCCCGGACAGCGACAATATGTGCTTACCTTTCCTTAACCCTCCTTCCTCACAAGATCACTGGCTTTGCTTGTTGTATTTTTAGGATTTGTCCATGTTGTAGCTCTAGGACAGGGCTCAGCAAACTATGTCCCAAGAGCCACATCCAAGGGCTACATCTGGGCCACAGCAGTTTTGATAGGGCTTACAAGCTAACATTTTTA